ACCCATAATAAAGTCATTAAAGAACCAAACTTCATGAATGTTTTTTGTGACAAAGAAGTATCTGTTCCAATCACTCTATCAGAGAAAAATCAGAGTTTTAGAAATAACGGGACACTCGGTAGAGCCATTATATTATATTGTTTACAAGTGTATGTAAACTTTTGACCACAACTGTATGTTCCAGTGGTTTTAATGCTGTAGCTGATCTCTCTTTATTATCCCTCTCGCTGTTACTACCCCACTTTCTCCTTGGCTCACTAATTAAAAGGAATTTGTATGCTTTGACTCCGGGAAATTTTTCTTGCTGAGGTAATGATTTGTAAATACAGGCCATTTACTGTACCATCCACTACCTTTTTGTCCAATTAGAGGGCTTGACACAAATCCCTGCTGAGCAGGGACAAATGGCAAACAAAGTGGTAATTATCTTCAAAAGCAGTTAAGACGGTGCTGGCGGTGAAATTGTGATTGTTAAGAGAAGATTCATGTGCAACACATATCAAAACCGTGGACCAGAAATTCCCACGGAAATATACAGCATTCTGTACAGATGTTATTTATAGCATTATTACTCTGGCGTATTTTCATTACTGCGATTTTGCTGAGGGGCATCATTCTCGGGTCTGAGTGAGATAGAGAAGCATAGATGAAGAAAAGGAATAAATAAATTGTCATGTGCTTAATGTTAATGTAAGCATCTGATGTTTGAGTAAGAATCCATATGGCCCCCCACAAGCTGAACCCTGAAGACTGGGCCTGTATTGAGGATGTGAATGTGTTGTGTCTGCTAGATCCTGGAGTACATCGTTGGATAAAGACCCAGAAATCATGATGTTAAAAGAAAATAAAAAATAGCCCTAAGTATACAGCAAACAGAAATCAAATGCATGTTGATGCATGCCTGTCTGTGTGAGTGTGCATCGTTATATGCATGTATCACAGTGAGCGTGCAAGGTTATTTTGTGCCAGGGTTTTTGTCCTCGTTAGCCTGTCATGTCTGTAGTTAAACAAAGCATTGCCCCTGCCCATCCAATTAGACTTAGATTCCCGCAGCACACCGACGATGACACGTGAACAGACACTCCATTAACACTGATAGAGATGGATGGGAAGGGACAAGAGACGGGAGAAAGGGGAGATTTTTAGCCTTCTAGCTTTTTTTTTTCCAAAACCTTCCTTTCAAGGCATCATTAGCTGACACAAAGTCGATCAAGTTGTGCATTCAGTGAGCGATATGAATATCACTAGAAGAATTTAGCCTGCTCGGTAGTTTAACATGTCTCACTTGAGTGATTTTCATGTTTGCTTATAATATGTAGCCTACAGGGAGACACAGACCCAAACAGCCAATGATAGCACACAGCATATTTAATAAATTCTACTTGCAGTGTAGTTTTAAATCCTTTATTCGATAAATCTTTGTTCTGGACTGGTGCCAGTGCCCACTGTTATATTTATCTATAGGAGATGCCTATGTTGTGTGGATGATGAGTATTGAGCTTGTGATCTGGGAGTTTTTATAGTTTTTTTTTTCTCAGGGAAATATTGATGTATTTTCAGGACGATGCTGTAAAGGTTTGCTGCTTAAGCGAGATCTTGTGGGAGTGTGAGAGAATTATGAAATTGTGTTAAAACTGCAAAACAAAATTAGAGGGTTATAGTTTAGATTTTCCTGAGAAAAATTCTGAAGTCTGGTAATGCTGCTAAACTGCTGCTTGTCGAAGTGCATCACTGTCAGTGCCGAATGCTATTTCCTCTAGACAGAATTAGAGAAGAGCAAATACAGATGGATCAAAGGAAACGACACAAAATTATTAAGTGAATCCCATTTAGAGCTCTAAAGATCAGAATGTTAGATGGTGTTAGAATGTCATGACAGAATGATGTTTTGTGAATGTTATTGCTTTGCTTTGGGAGCAAAATTGTGTTTTTTATACATGAGACGCCAACTAAAGTTTAATGTCTAAACCAGTGCAGTGGCTAAAAGGCAGTTTGGTGTCATGCAGACTCTCCTTTTTGATTTCCCCGTCAAAGTACACCTTAAAAATTACATATTTGTGACATGTAAGGCAGGAGAAATAATACTTTACTTTTCTTTATTCTAGTTCTTTTCAAACATAGTGCATCTCAGCATGCTGAAATGGCCTTAAAGTGTAGGCGGGGCAAATCATTTTAATGAGCGTTGCTATTCTTCCTCTTCCCACAGCCTCTCTTAAAGGCCAGGGTTCATCTTGATTTAGCTGACAGGCTCTTGTTGTGAGTGTGTTTGGGCAAGGCTGAGCACAGGGCGATCGGTCCACTGATTCCCACAGCAAGAGAAAATCCACCTACAGTTTAGTACTGTGTGCACTGGACTGAGTCGCTGAACCTGATAATAGAAGCTCTGAATGCTCTTTGTGATGTCTTAAGAAAGCAGATAAGAAAGAAACAAAAATTACATTGCATGATATTCAAATTCGAAACAGGGCAAGGGTTAGGGGGTGGAGGAGGGAGTACAGTCCTGGCGAGCCCCCACCACCTCCCACACCACACAAATGGGTAAACAGTTAAGAAAATGGATAGGTGGATGTATGTATCAATGAATGGCTGGAGAGAGAATTGTGTAAATTAGGTGAACAAAGGTAAATGCCAAATGGTGAACATCTGGCTGGCAATTATTTTGTTTTATTGCCGTTGTATTTCCGAACATCTCAGTAATAAATAAAGGGATCTCTGTGTGTCTGCTGCCCGTTCAGCCTGCCTACTTCAAATGTAGCAGGTGTAGTGCCCGAGGAAGTGCCGTGTCAAGTATAGATGAACAGCACTTTTTGTTGTCGGATTTCCTCTTTCATTCTTATATTGATACACACCTCCTGGGAGACTTGTACTGCGCCAACACTGAGGAAACAAGGAGACAAGCCCAGCCATAAATTACATCAAAGCACAGTAGAGTTTCATATACTGTGCTGAAATACATTGTGAGCACAGGAACTGGGCACACAGTTTCATGCCTGCTCATAGGTTTCTTGGAGCAGTGCTTGGAAAACACTGGACCGATCTGATGTAAATGAAGAGAAGAGGAAAAAACAGACAGAGGCAGAAATTACTTGACACCACAGAAAGGGTGTGTGTTTGTGTGTGAGTATTCTTAAAAGTATTGGAGTGCTTGAGTGTGTTGAGCTAATACAGCCCCAATTCCCAAACAGTTGGGACGATGTGTTAAATGTAAATATTGGCCGAAATTGCTTTGAGGCAACTGAGGTTGTTTTTTGGCACTATATGAATGAAAGTGAATCGAATTGAAATCTCACAACTCCATATCCTATTCACAGTAGCATATGCAAAACACATCAAATGTTTAAAATGAGAAAAGCGTACCATGTTAAGAAAAATAATGGCTCAGCAACATGCCCCCAAAAAGCTGGGACAGGGACATCTTTACCACTGTGTATCATCCATTGTTCTTTTAACAACAGCCCATAAACATCTGGAAGTTTAGGAGACCAGCTGTTGCACTTTTGGGAGAGGGATGCTCTCTGATAGAGGATTCTAGCTGCTCAAGAGTCCTGGATCCTCTTTTTGTTTTCAGTTGCTGGAGAGTTTGGTCTGCAGGCAGGCCAGTTCTTCATGCTTCTTACTGTAAAGCCATGCTGTTTTAATAGATGCAGTATACTGTTTTAACATTGTCCTGCTGAAATATGTAGCAACTGAAAAAGACATTATCTGAATGGGAGCACATGTTGCTCTACAATCTCTATTTACCTTTTAGCATCGATGGTCTCCAGATGTCTGTTTCATAGACACTACTGCACCCCCATACAATCAGAGATGCAGGCTTTTGAACTGAGTGCTGTCCCTCTCGTCTGTAGTCCAGAGGACATGGCATTCATGTTTCTAGAAAAGGAATTTCACATTTTGATTTATCTGAACACAAAACAGTTTTCTGCATTGCTTCAGCTCATTTCATTCAAGTCAGTAGTATTTTTTTGGATCGTGTTCACGTATGACTTCTTCATTGCATGAAAGGGTTTTACCCGATGTGGTTGGCACAGTGAACTGTTTCACAGATAATGATTAGTGGAAGTGTTCCTGAGCCTATGCAATGACTTCCATGAGAGAATCATGCCTGTTTTTAATGCAGTGCCGTCTGAGAGCCGGACGATCACGGGCATCCAGTATTGATTTTCAGCTTTGCCACTTACGCACAAAGAACAAGGATGAAAGCTAAGACCAAATCTAGATTATTGGAAATGTTATTACGATATTATATGTATCGTATTGTTACATTATGATATATTATATGTATCATCTATATGTATTATAAATGATGGATATTGAAAGTCTTCCCAATATTACTTTTAAAATTTTTCTGAAACATTTCCACAATTTTTAGATGCAGTTTTCATCTTTACTTCTGAGTAACTCTGTCTCTCTAAGATTGCAATCATGTTACTGACCTGTTTCCAATTAACCTGATTAGCTGCAAAATGTTCCTCCAGCTGTCTCTCTTTAGTACCTCTTACTTTTCCAGCCTTTTGTGGTCCCCATTCCAACATTTTTATATGTGTTCACCCCGTCAAATTCAAAAGGAGCCTGTGTTTTTCATGAAATAGTAAAATAGCCCAGTTTAAACACCTGATATATTTTCTGTGTTGTACTGTGAATAAATTAGCAAATCATTGCATGTGTACACAGATTTTAAAAATTATTGTTAAAGAGGCTTTTTGGTGCAGATTTATATATTTGTTATAATTTTTATAATCTACAGTATGTTGTTTAAATTCTAGGTCTATTCAAGTGACACAAAACTGGCGGCTGAATTCAGAAATCTGACAATCAGATGAAAATAGGACATGAATCTCTGCTATAAATTAAATGTTATGCTTTCAGTGACCTAGTGCAAGTAGTTGTTAGACCGACTGTAGTCTCTCTCTTAGACAGTTTGCAAAGGTTTGCAGATAACCATCATCTAATTCATAAATGCACAAAGATCACTTACACGTTGCAATCAATCAGAATCAGTCTGTCCTGTGAGCAACTCAACTGGTTGTCAGCTGCCGAGCACCTATGTCATTTTACTGTCGTCCTGCATCAACTACGTCTGAATTTGCATTTGTTTCAAATTTATCAGGTTCTAGCTTGACTCTAAATATAAGTCGTTGATGTCTGTTCAGTATGAATTTCTGTGTATGTGGACGGCAACAGATTTGCGCCAGCGGATAACAGGTGATTGTGGTATTATCAGAAACAGATTGCATGTAATTGCAAACCTGATCCCATTCAATCATATTGCAGATTCATATTGCGTCTTATTGCAGTCTTGACGCTACAAAGTCACTTTGAGGACAGCAACTGACTGTGAAGGGTATAAGATCCGGTCCCAGTCGGCAAAGAATCCATTTCTAAAGCAACAGGATCAGAAGTTCATTGCTAACTGTTGAAATAATTTTGTTCTGTTTTCCCTAGTGTGACCTTAACTGCTCTCCTGTCTTAGCAAATGCAGTCTTGACCCAAAGAAATCTGTCTGCTTCACAATTATTGCTAGAGTTCTGCCAAAGGGTTTAGTGTCACCTGGATATGTAACAGGCATAGAGCTCCCAAGTCATTAATTATCAACATTCTTCCCCTGGATGACAGCTAGGAGAACAGACATTTCTACTTAGACACTCTAGCCTCAGTCGCATAAGATCTACCCACCACATCCTAGAGACTCACCTCTCTGAGCTGTGGTATGCCCTTGCTAATCTAAGCCCAGCTCAGTTGCACTGAGCCTCCTCCTCATTAGACACAGTGGTGTAACACAGTTTTAAGTTTGGTCTGAAACTCAGCAGCCTGAGAGGCTGCAAACAGCACCACCCCAACACACATTATGTCAGTCAGAGACAATCTTATGCAACATTTGAAGAAATTATGTAAAAGTCATGACTGAACAGTTTTCAGGCATTTTCCACAAGCTGCCCCCTGTCAGCCTCACCAGCCTCCTCTCATGCCCTTTCCTGTGCCTGTTGCTCTGGCCCATCTGCTTTACAGTCACCACTCCTCAGGGTGCTTCTTGTTTTGGCCTCCTACATTTGCGAACAAGGAAAACATTTAATTTTATATTTTTTTTCCCTCTAAAAATAGTTTGAGTTGTTTGTGTTGGCATAAAATACATCCAAGCCTTTCGACAGCATTTGATCAGCTCTTGTCTGGACAAAAAACAAGTCTTTGTCTTTGAGGAGTGGTGTTAGGAAGCAGGCGAGCGCTAGCATTGATAAAACTGTCAGATTTAATTGATTGTGTCACATGTGGCACTGTGGTCACTCCCAGCTAAAAGGTGGCCTCAGTGTCACAACTAGAGACATCCTCACAGCTTTAATTCATCTTGAAAGCTTAGCCACAGCTTCCATAACATGACGGTTGCTTAAATATCAAAACATTTTTGCCTCAGCAAAGCTGGGCAGCACTTAGCTGCTTCTGTGACAACTTATCCAGTCTCTCTGAATACTACATGGGGTCATTCTGACCTTCTATCTCACTCCCAGACAACAATGAACACTCTGCTAATGAAGATGTAGGAAGGCACACAGAGAAATTAATTCCTTTTAAAGAGGTTGTTATCAGCTTTCCTTTTGGCATATCCCCCCATCGCTATGATTGGGGAAAAAAGGCTTTGTTAAGTTTTGAAACAAAGTTCCTAGAAAGTCAAAGATGCCTGTGTCTCAGAAGCACAGTAAAACTCTTTTCTGCAGAACTCTGCTGGCTCTCTGGAAATGTGGAAAAAAGACATGCACACAGAGAGGCAGGTAATCATAAAGGTTGGAAGAGTTTGCCTGTGCCGTATGTACAACCCAGTGAAGTGTGTCCTAAGATACAGTATGCACAGGTTCCATATAAATTGGACAAGTGCAGCTTGTGGAGCAATGAACAGCTGTGTGGAGAGATTAAAAGCAAGTAACAAAAGTTGCATTGTTTGTTATCATCTTAGTCTAATGCACACCTTCCCAAAGTGTGGGGCCCGCCCCGCGGTATGAAAAGGGAAGGGGGAAGAAAAAACAAAACGCTTGGACACTGCTAGCACGGGGCGCCCACAGAAATGCAAAGCGGGAGATGAAGCATCACTGAATATGTTTCCAAACCAACTTCATTCTAAGCCAAAGACTAGAAAATATGGTGAAGCATATCTGCCCTTTGGTTTCACCTGTATTTTTTGAAAAATGCATTGATAGTAATGTTGAATATTATTACACATACAGTAAAATAATCACACCGTGACGCCTCAGCCTTTCTAAATAGAGGGACAGTAACTGCGTTTGTATATGCTAGCGTGTAAAACCTGAAGATAGTCAGATTAACAGTATTTTGTCTCTATCTGCCATTCTGCAATTCATCTCATGTAAACAATAACGTGGCGCACAGCGTGACGTGAAAAAAGGCACACACCTTTGACGTTGCGTGACGAACTCTGTATTCCTCGTCCACACGTAAACGGAAAAAAGGAGTTTTAAAAAATCTCAGTTTTCAGTGATTCGAAACGACGTTTACGTGTGGAAGAAACAAATATTCAATTTGCTTAATTGTTTACTAAATGTTTGAGGTGTGAAAGAAACCGCACATTTTTCTTGTAAAACAAAGGGGGGCCTAGAAAAAAAAGTTTGGGAACCACTGGTCTAATGATTATAGCATATACTCAAACTCCTCATGAACATGTTAATCAATCTGGGTGAAATTTGCTATGTAAACTGCTCAGGGTACCCGGATTAATGGCACTCTTCAATCCTTACAGATTACATGCATTATGTGTAGTAGCTGATCTCAAAACAAACAGCGACACTACATGTAGATTGTTCTTTGTAAATACATTTGGTAAACAATTTTTAGAGTAGAAAAGAATAAATGTTTTGCACACTACAGAACTCCAATTTCATTATTTATTGCATGTAGTATTATATGATGTTTCGAGTATGCCTACTATTTATCAGACATAGAAACAACTTTTAGTTCAGCGTGACTGGAATGTGTTGTCAGGCATATCTGTTAATAAGTGTTCATCAAACCGAGACCCTATTAGTCCCTTTAAATAGTTGCTTTGTCTTATTCAATGACTATGTAGCTTGCAAAGAAGATAAAGAAAAATATCTATTTAATCATATTAGGAACAGCCATTTTGCCTTCTGACTGTACACAGAGATATAATGAAGATAAAAAGAATAACAGGATAAATTAATTTACATATCTGTGTTTTAATATGTGAGTGAGTTGAACAAGCTCCGTAGGCCTGACAGTGAATTTATAATTAATTCTGTGCCTTAACGCCTCACTTCACTTGCAAGTCCATCAGATTTCTATGTCCGTCTGTCTGTGTCGCTGTCTCTATCTGTATGTTACCACAAACAGTCCCATACATTAAAAAGAGGAGACCCTGGGTGAAACAAGGGTTAATGTACACTTAGAAAGACACAGAGAGGGTCAATAGGATTAGCATTGTAGCTCTGACCAAAGATTCAATATCCAAGTCTCCTTGCAAACACAAACAAAGTAGCTCTTACCCACACGTGATTTATTGTCTACAGCTCCCATACAGAAAACCTTTTCATTTTTCAGTTTTATGGCCTGTCAATCCTTAAAACAACATGTATTACTGAAAGTATAATGCATCTAAAAAGGAACAGGAGGTCTATAAGTCATGTGTGAACTACATCTTCATTCAGTTCACCTGGATTTTCGTTTTTTGTATGTGTGCGTCTGTGTGTGTTTTTTTCGCTCTTTAGTACATCCGCAAAAAATAATAAAATCCACCGTCGATTGTTAAACACATTTGCATTTATTTTGTTTGGACAAAGCTGATGTGTGACAGGCTGTTCACCAAACACTGATAGAGCCGTGTGCACCCAGATCTGTCAGCACCATTACTC